AATATACCTATGTTACGACCCACCAGCTACCGCGCTGACCACTGTGATCAAATGCTTTGATGCCCGCATGTAATTCTACATAATGGATCACAACCTTAAATAAGGCTGATCTGCATGGAGCGTGAGCTCTTCATCGCATTTAATAGCTGCATCACTGTCCCCATCACCTTCTCTTGCTATGCAGACTGATGGAGTGGGTTACTAAAGACTAAACTACCCGCCAGGAGGAGCTTGTAACCGTGGCCCTGCAGCTGGACGCCAGGACAAAGGCGGCATGCTTACCGCGAGGAAGGCTGATTAGAAATGAACATGCTGGAGTTCGTGCTGAGTCATCTGGATATGTTATTTTGATGCAGTTTTTATTCTGTATTTTATTTTAGAGGAAAAATGCAAGGCTAAGAATGTAAATCTTTTGTTGTTGTTGTTGTTGTTGTTGTTTTATAGCTGAAACATTTATTCAATGTTATGCTTTTTGATTTTATTGAATTTCTCTTTATGTTCAATGCCAGTTTTATTTTTTCTTGTATTCTATGGAAAATAAGATATATCATCCCTTTGTGGTATCTGAGCAGACAAGTACATTTTAGACTTAAGACTTTTTATTGTGAATTAACATCTTTTTGCCCTATTTTCCTTTTCACAACTTTTTAGTATAAATTTCAAAAATATGGAAAAGTTGATAAGATAATGCAAGCAATATCCATAAACCTCTAAAATTCAACAATTGTTAAGTTTACTGTAATTGCTCTGTGTGTGTGTGTGTGCATGCATACACTCAGAAGGATGTATAAAGTATTTTGAGGTTAATTACAGACAACCTAGCTTTTCAATTTTAAGTAGTCTAGCATGCACTTTTTGAGGATAAAGACATCATTGTATATACTCAGAATACAGTTATTACATGTAAGAAATTTATTTAAGGTAATAAAATTTTAGAAAATCATTTAAGTAATACATTACTTAAAAATAATATGCTTTAGCCTTAGTTATAGTGAAAAGTATGAGCCATGAAAGGCTTTTCTAAAACAGAGACCAAATATAGGAGGGAAGCCGCTTTGCAGTGTAATCACAGTGCATTCCTGTAGGATATGTTTATTGACGGACTCTTCAAACACTATCTCACACTTAACACAGACAGAGACAATGGATTTGGGAAAACAGAGAAATGATACAACTCAACAAAAGCATAGACTTATCATATTCCATTTTCAGTCTTTTAAAAAACTTTTTATTCAAGCTGTTGCAGGAAAAGAGATGTGGAGCATGAAGAGGGCTGTGTCCCAGGTCTGGGTTGAGCCCCTGGGACATGCCCTGCCAAATGTGGGTCCTTGGCTTCATGCAGGAAAGAAC